CTTTTAAATCAGTCCAAACATCAAAAGTAATAGTAGCAAATGCTATACCACTCAGTAAACTCTTCAGAACTGAATTCATAAGCCATGATAATACAATGGCATTCACTACTTCCCATTGTCCCCATAATTCCTCACTATAAACCTCTTTTCGAGAAGATCCATCAATTAGCCCTATTTTATTCCTCCCTAACAGATCTAGCCTAATAGATCAATTCCACAGAGTATAGTTTTCAATACCTACTAGATGAAACGAGATGATGCTAATGCTACTAACATCAACAGGACTGAGAAACAGAGTATGATTATAGTTGATACATTGTCTTGTTCCAGTGTTACCTGAACCAGTGCTGCCATGTAAGGAACCAGTAGCTCCTTGGCCATTGTTGACGATTTGAGACTGATCCACAACTATTTGATCATTCACCATATTAGATCCTAGATAAATTGTTGTCGCGGAAGCAAAATCAGAGAAAAATCAACAATTATTCACTACAGAATTCAGCTCCAAGCTCAGATCTGTAATGAATTCTAATGATACAGATGAATCGATGAATCATAAATTAATTTTTTGATCCTTTGCACAACTTGTCTTCAACAGTAAGCACTGGACGGTAAAGCTCTGATACCATGAAGGTAAAATGAAAGAGCTCAATCAGAGCAACAATGAGAGCTCAATAAGCATCTCAGATATTTTGTATTTTTTTAAGAAAAAGATTACATTGAGTGAGTCACAGTATTTATAACTCTCTTACTGTGACTTGTAACTAATCTTACTAACTAACTCTATGCTAGGTAGTTACAACTAATTATTATAAAATGACTGATCTACCCTTTCACTTTTAACAGCCTAACTAACATTAACCAACTTCTAACTCTCAGTAGCTCATCTTCACATCACATTAAAACTCCAAGAGCCCCGCGTATAATTTTCCATAAACCACTAACCAACTCACCCCAACAGAAAAGATGCTCAACACTCTCTTGATTTGCATTCTTGCAAGTTGCAACAAATACACTTTAATATTAAATTAATCCTCATTTTGGTGATATTGGAACTTTATCCCTTTTTTTTTTTTTTTTTTTTTTAGGATAATCAAATTTATTTTTTATTAAAACTACCCCAAATAAATATAATTATTATAAACATATGAAAGGGAGAAGGAAAGGGAGACTCTCTGAAAGACTTTAGGATCAGCACTCAACTTTCTTTATTTCGGTCGATTTCTCGTAGGGACAGACAAAACCAAAGTTTGTCATTTAGACCGAGTCAATGTCATCATCTCCATAGGGCCTAACCTACCCCTACCCCACCACCGCATGCCTTTCGTCTCTACAAGGCGTCTAGCGTACCCACGTAAGGTCCAAGAGGCATTGGACTGCTATTAGGGTGAATTTAGACAAAAATAAAATATAATAGGCCCACCTAGACACCAAGTCAAACAATTTGGACAAACATTTAGCACGTAGGGTCTCATATTGGCCTCTAGATTTTAATTTAAACATGCTAGCAAACACACATAAAGTGAAAGGTCTTAGGCTTAGTGTGTGGGCATATAAACAAGCATTATAGTAGGAACTTTATCCCTTAAAGCTCTTCATTAGGATATTCTTTCTTAGGGAAGTGACATATACATATTGATATACATTGATTCATATTTACTTAATAAATTGAAATATATTTATTTGTATTCATTTAATATATTGACATACAGTTATTTGCATTAATGATTTATAGAATTTTGCATTGGTATATATTGATTTGTATTCAGTTAATCAATTTTTATATATTTGATTGCATTGTATACATTGTTCCGTATTTGATTGCATTGTATACATTGATCCGTATTATTGCATTGTATACATTGATCTGTATTAGCTTAATAAATTGGTGCATATTTATTTTTATTACTATTTATTGATCAGTATTCACTTACTAATATGGTTATATATTTGTATTGGTATACTAATCACATCGAATACACACTATATACATGTCTCTGATGTGATTCGTATGTATATGATATACCAGATACTCGAGTGAGATGGAAGGGAGACAAGTGAGATTTGTCTATCTATCACAGATATATGCGAATCCATTTAGATACAATGTATCTAGAACGAATTACAGTTTGACACCATATATCCCAAGATACATGTATCTAGGCATGAGGCATACTTGGACACACGAAAATTTAGTAAGATTCGTAAAATTGCAAACTAGCGTATATCTAAATAATTAACTACTAAACTAGTGATATTTCTATAAGTTATCCATTTTAAATTCTTAAATGAAGAATTTCCGCATATAGCTACTCGAAAATAGCTTAATTATGTTCCATAGCTATAGTTTGCTAGTTACGATTCATAGCTTCATGTTATAGGGAGGAGAGTGGCGAGCGAGATTGGGAGAGGGAGGAGAGAAGAGAGCGAAAATGGAGAGAGGTGAATTGTATATGTATATCAGTTAGATAATTGTATATATGTAACTACTATGTATATGTATTGTTGATTGTATTTGTATCTGTATACAATATATTTGAATTCGTATACAATTGAATTGAGTTAAACATTTTTATTGTATATACAATCTCTCTCGCTTTATGCAAACACAAATTATACATTACATTTGTATAATTTGTGTTTGTATAAAGCGAGAGAGAGAGAGAGAGGCAAAAGAGAACTAGGCGGGGGAAGATTTGTTTTTGTATAATTATAAGTGTATAGGGCGGAGATATATATATATATTTGTATTTGTATATCCAGTCTCTCTCGCTTTATACAAACACAAATAGATTTTATACATTTTTGTGTTTGCATAATTTGTGTTTATATAAAGTGAGAGAGAGATTGACATAAGAGAATTGAGAGAGAGAATGGACAGGGAGAGGAGAGAGGTGAGGGAGAGATGCCTGAAAAAGAGGAGAGAGGTGAGTGAGATTCCAGAGAGAGGGGAGAGAGGCGAGAGATGTGAGAGAGAAGAGTGTAATTACAACTAGAAGTAAGTTCTGAATTGTAATTAATGCAAACAATAGCTATGTTGGCTAATTAACTAGTATATGTTTGTTTAACTGCGTAATTTTCCATACTTAAATCCATAAATTAAAAATTCAAATCAAAATTTTGAAAAAATGGCATAGCATGACAACCTATAGACTTTATTAGCAATAAATAGCCCACTTTAGTTTTTTTAGCAAAAAATTACTTTTTTTTTAATATTTATTTGGCATTAAATAGCCACATTCTTTTTTCTGAAAATTGTTTTTTTTTTTCCAGATTTTCTCTCTCTATCTAGCAGTTAGCAGGTCTGCTTTTATTGTCCCTTTTTTCTCTTCTCATAATTTGTAAGAAATTACGTATTTTTCAATTCTCTCTTTCTTCTCTTTTTTTTCTCCCTCTTTCAAGTTTAGAATTTCTATCTTCTTCTCTAAAATATTTCCATTAAAGATCAATCACAACAGTAACTCTTCACAATAAGTAACTCAAATCATACCAATTTTTTTTATACTGATTGTCTGGGTTATTTTTTAAAAAATTGAGATTTTCTACATTCTTTATCTTGTAGTTGGATGCAAGATTTTTATTCTTACAAATTTTCGTATTTGTATTATAATTTAACAACATTTTCTTCCCCCAAAAATTGCAATGTTTTGTGATTTATGGAATTGACATTTTTTCAATTTTTAATAAATAATTAATTAATATATTTATGACAATTTTTTAAAATATTGAATTTCGTTGATTGAATTTGATAACAAATATTTATTTTGTCTCCCACAAATGTATCTAAATTTGTTAATGAATATAAGTAAACACATAACAATGTAAAATTATCTAAATTTGTTAATGGATTTCGTTGATTGCATTCCAAAATAGTAATGCAAGCAACTGTAACCTATGTAAAATTAGAAAGATACTAATGCAAACGAATGTATATCAATTTATAAATGAATATGGACGAATGTATCCAATACAAATGTATACCTATGTAAATTTGAAAGATATTAATGCAAATAAATGTATACCAATTTATTATGAATACGAACAAATGTATCCAATACAAATGTAAAATTAGAAAGATATTAATGCAAATAAATGTATACCAATTTATAAATGAATATGGACGAATGTATCCATTACAAATGTATACCTATGTAAAATTTGAAAGATATTAATGAAAATAAATATAAATGTATACCAATTTATTATGAATATGAACAAATGTATGCCAATCTATTTGATGGATATGGATTAATGAATACCAATGCAAACAAATGTATACAAATTTGTTAAGTAAATATGGATCGAGTTCAAAGGCAAAATAATTGGCAGGTAATGAACTCATAGGAATACCTTTGAAATGAGAGTAATCATAATCAAAATATTATTTTCTAAATTTAAGAAAAGATATAATTCTAAATAGAATTTTGCTAGTTCTAAGTGGAAATGGTTGGAAGATAAAATAGAGATGGTATTAATTTTCTTTTATTATTTTTAAAAATACGAAATAATTTGAAAGGAGAGAGTTTTGAATAATCTTTTGCTAGTTTTAAGGAGAAATGGTTGGAGGTTACAAGAGAGATGAAATTAATTTTCTTTTATTATTTTAAAATATCCGTACTAATTTGAAAGGAGAGATAATTCTAAATAATCGTTTGCTAGTTTTAAGGAGTAATGGTTGGAAGTTAGAAGAAAGATGCTATTAAATATCTTTTATTATTTAAAAAAATATAGATATATTACTTTAGGCTAATATGTGCCAATTTTTATTTGTTTATTAATTGCTAATTAATATTGGGCTATATATTATCAATTATATGTAACACTTGTCTATTTGTGCCAATTCCTCCAAAATTTTCATATTCCATCCAAATAGCCGAGAACCCCTTGGGCCTAGGCTATGGGCCTCCTTTATCGCCCAACCTCCAATGGAAGTCCAGAACCATCTTTGATTTCTGTAATTACCTGAAACTTGACGTCAATCTTCAGCTCTGGTGAAGAAAATGTCTCTGTTCAGGCGATTTATTCCAATTCACATGAAACTACACTCTTATTCACATTCATATTCAGCTAGAAGCTCTATGGACAATTACTTTCTTCGTAAACGTAGAAAATGGCCACTTTCACCTTACAAAACCAAATGGCAAGAAGAAACCTTAACTCATCAATTCGCTATGCAAAAATTGGTAGAATCAACAGCTAACAGATCTCCTAAAATCCATCTTTTATCAATTCTTATCGACTCTTTCTCTACCTACGAATGCGATCCAACTCCAAATGCATACTATTTTATCCTTAAAACAGTTACCAAGAACCCGTCTATATGGGATGAAATCCCTCTAATTCTTGATCATATTGGTAAAGTTGAAAAATTTGAGACACCCGAATACATATTCACTTATTTGATTAAGTTTTATGGGGATTCTAACATGACCCATTTGGCATATGAGATGTTTTTCACTATGCCAGCTTTTAGATGTAAACCAAGTGTGAAGTCTTTGAATTGTTTGATTTGGGTACTTTGTAAGAACAATTATGATCTCAGAATTGTACTTCAAGTTTTGGTTAAGAGTCAGTTATTGAACATTTGGGTTGAAGAATTAACTTTTAAGATTTTGATTAGAGCTCTTTGTAGGATTGGAAAAGCGAATAATGCCGTTGATTTGTTGAACTTAATGGTGAATAGTGGGTTTAATCTTGATGGAAATATTTGTTCTTTGATTTTATCTACAATGCCTGAAGTAAAAGATTGTGATGGGGTTGAGATTTGGGGTGTTTTGGAAGAAATGAGGAAGTTAGGTTATAGTCCAAAAAGGGTGGATTTGTGCAATGTGATAAGGTTTTATGTGAAAAATGAAAAAGGGATTGATGCTTTGGAGGTGTTGAATAAGATGAAAATGAGTGGAATGGTGCCTGATGTTGTATGCTATAATTTGGTTTTGAATGGAATGATTTTAGAAGGGGAGTATTCGAATGCAGATGAAGTGTTTGATGAATTGCTTGTATTAGGTTTAAATCCCGATATCGTTACCTATAATGTGTATATTAATGGCTTGTGTAAGCAGATTAAAATGGTCGAGGCATTAAGAATGCTTGGTTGTATGGAGGTTTTGGGGTGTAAACCTGAAACGAACACTTACCACACCATATTAGATGGTTTGTGTAGGTGTGGGATGTTGTCGTCTGCAAAAGAAGTTTTTGGGCAGATGAAATCGAAGGGTTTACAACTCAGTTCACATATTTATGGCGTTATAATTAACTGCATGATTAGAAATGGTGAAGTTGACGAAGCGTATAATCTGTTACATGAGATGGTTGACATGGGGTTTCTTCCTCAGTCTATTACATTTGATGGATTGATCGGTCTTTTGTGCAAGAAGGGTTCGTTTTCTGAGGTGATGGAATTGTTAAGCATAATGGTCACCAAGAACGTTGTCCCTGGGATTAGATCGTGGGAAACATTAGTTCAAGTGTTTTCTTCTGCAAAAGAGGAAAGAAATGTAGAAGTAGAAGGTTCTTCTGGAACGAAGGGGGCTAAATAGAAACAAGAGAGATCCATTGAACAATGATTTTTTCGTGTTGTCAAAGATTGAATAAAGAAAATAGATTGCCTAATCGAATTGATTAGATCATGTAGGAACAATTGCACACAGGTTGGTTGCCACCGTTGGCTGGGAAAAATCAGTTGCATTGGGTAAAAGTCACAAGTTCTGTGAGGCAGAACAGAAGGCATGCTGTGCCTATGTATGTAACATAAATGTTGTACTAAAAGATTTAGTTGATCTGGTCTAGCAACTTTATCTTACATCAATCCCTAGAAATGTTCGACTTCATGACAAAGTCGTGTGTATCAAAGAAATGAAAGGGCTCTCCATCTTTGTCTTGAACCTAGACGGATTTCTATGTATATATTTTTGCAACCCTGTATTGTATTGTATCACAAAAATGAATGTTGATCAGCCTACATTCTACAAGATGATATATCACAACAAAAAGAGACTTAACCATTAATGTTCAAATTTTTCACACAATACTTTTCCCTTTTCTCCAGAAAATGAATCTGACAGTGATCATCAACTGGTTAAAGTCTCAATAAAATGGACCATCTCTAGCAAGTGGCACAACTGGAAAAACTTTAGTATTATCATTGCAATCAATCATCACTTCTAAATTGTTTTTTAGGTGAAATGTCAATTCTTTTGAAAGCAAATTGTAGAACAAAAGGATCCCCAAGTGGGCTCATCTGTAAGATTGTATTCGAAAATAAAGTTTCCTGTAATTTGTTTAGCTGCGGACAAGTCTATTGTGTTAAAATCATAGGAGAGATGGATTCAACTTGAATCCGTTTTTTTTTTTTCATGTGTTATTAATTAGTGTGTTTCACTTAACAAGATTTTATTCAGTGATCTTTATATGTCGAAGTAGGTTCTTTTAGAATCAATTTTAAGCTGTATGCTAGATGTTGTTACAATTCAAAGGATTAAGACCCTTGTGACATTGCACAAAAGACATTCTTTCAACTAGCAACTTTGAATGTTGGTAGGGTCTTGTTTGAATTCCAATCTCTAGTCATAACTTGGCACAATCAATTTTGCCAATAATGTCTCTTTTTCTTCTTTGCCAGCGAGAGTTGTTTCTATTAGGGAACGCTAAATTTGCTAGTCCTGATTAGTCCACACAAATGGAGACATATACATGTGTCTGACATGTAATCGATTGACTCATCTTGTTAGTTACAAGTAATTATTAGAAAGTCCAAGTAAAAAACAAAGAGTATGAAAGACTTATTTGGTTTTTGTGGAATTAAAGGTGGAAATAGGACTATCAAAAACCTATCGTTTCAATCAGAAATGACTCTATTTTACTGTTTATAAGTCTTGCCTATTCACCATAATGGGGTATTTTTAGTCCTTTTATTTTTAAGTATTCAATGAGAGGAAAGGCTCAAAATAGTCCTTCATCTTTGGGTTAAAGCTCAAAGTCATCCTTGAGTTTTCACATGGAGCACTAATAGTCTCTCATGTTTGCAATATTGGTGCACTTTTGGTCCTCCTCCAAAATTTTGCCTATTTTTTAATATTGATTTTATCCATAACTTATGTATGATATGTTCAATCGTCATTTTATATATTTGGTAAAAATAATAACTCCATATGAGAGAATGTGAGAAGAAAAACATCTTGTTTTGTTAAGTAGAAATTGTATTGCAGGTAAAGTCGAGAGGTTCATCATGATAATTTCACGTGCAATAGTACAATTTTTTTTCTTTTCTTCCAACATCATATGTTAAGATGTTCTTAGTTTAGCTGCAGTAATATTTCTATTGAATAGAACAATGTGTTCTTCTTATCACCTTCTCTCACATAGAGTTATTATTTCTACTAAATATATAACAAGATGATTGGACATTCCTTACATAAAATTGTGGATAAAATTAATGTTAAAAAATAGGCAAATTTTTTTAGGAGGACCAAAAGTGCACCAATATTGCAAACATGAGGAACTATGAGTGATCCATGTAAAAACTCAAGGATGACTTTGAGCCTTAACCCAAAGATGAGGGAATATTTTGAACCTTTCCTCTATTCAATGACATTGAAAAAAAACCAGTAATTCATTTGAATAATAGATAAAATTGCCAAGTGCTAGCTTTTTTTTATTGATTAGACAAGATTACAACAATGGATAATATTTAATTCTATTAATTACTGATTTGGAGATTCAATTAATCTTCATATAAGAGACTAAAAAAAAGGAATAGCAGTAGGTATATATCATGACTAAAACATTACGACATGGTGACGATAAACAAAAATGTACTTAATGGAAGAAAACAAGAAAGGTGTCTTCCACTATGCATCATATTTTATTTGTTTGTAGAATGAGAATATACACCCAAAAAGATTAATCTAAAATCTAAATGCTATGTTTTTATATTCTCTAAAGGATCGAGCTAGTTTGGCAACAGTGCTAGAGAGTTGTGAGTCGTTTGGTTTCAATACAAATTATGATGAGATTAGTTATGCTGAAATTAGTTATAATGAGATAAGTTATGTTGAAATTATTTTTTATTGAGTGTTTAATTTGTTGTGTTCAAAATAATATGCATTGCATAAATTTTAAAAACAAGTTGTTTGCTTACAAAATACCTTTTATGAATGTGAAAAGTGATACTTAAAAAGGATTTAATGAGATAATTTTGTCATTTACCTATTTTATCCCAAGATAAGACTTATTCCTATATTAATTATTAATTCCAAGATAAGTTATCCAGACTTGTCAACCTACCAACAAATTAAATGACACTATAATTTAGTCTCATGATTATTTGGTCTTATTTGACAACCCACTATTTACCATGGGCAACAACATTGGTACAGTAGAGGTGCATTATTTTCGGTCCTCTCGTTCTTAGGAAAAGATTTCTCAATACTCTAATGCTCACACACTATAATAAAAATAATTTTTAGCGGTACTAAATATACATATTCACAAAGAGTGTTTAAGATTTTATTAGTATCTATTAATTGTCATTGGATCAAATATCGCTATAAGTTTTAGGAACATTTACAAAAAGTACTAATTGCCTCTAAAAATACATATTTAGCGGTAATTAAGTTATTATCATTAATTAATTACCGCTAATTTTGATGTAGTAACATCATATATATATATATATATATATATATGGACAATCATCTTTTCTTAAATACTTTACCATTTCCCTTTTTTTATTCTCATAATTATTAACGTAACAAAATAAGTATGTTTAAATATTTTTACAAAAAAATTATTGAATTCAAAATAAATATTGGTTAACATCTAAGAATTAGCCGATATCGTTGTCACCATACAATTAAATCAATTCAATTATTTTCTTATTGGCCTAAACAGATTTGTCTGTTTTTTAAGCAAACAGATTTAGACTTGACTCAAGTCTTAATCAACAAATCTCTACACTTTCTATGTTGATAGGGTGGTTCTCAACCGTGGCTTTATGTTAAAGTAAATTAACAAAGGAATTAATTAATAATTTTAGTTACATCCCATCAATTAAACATGATGCCACTATGATTTGCCTCCATTAGCTAGTCATCAACTGTTCATGGTGATTAATTACTATTAGTATTATTATTGATTATAAGTGATATTTCCATTATACTAAGATTGCCCAAATGGCATTTAATTACAATATTCCTTGTCTCCTCCTTTTTCCTTAATCTGTGGGGGCACCTCATTAACCACTAATTACACTAACTTTTCCTCTCTAATGACAATCATTTCTTTTAGATTTCACTGATGTCAAGTATAGTTTAGAAGTTGACAGCTCTCAAAATTGTTTTATTAGATTATATTTTTGTGCTATGCTACCCTGCAGTATACTATCTTGTAGCTTTTTGCTTGTTTATGGCATTATACATAACAAATTAAATAGTTAAAATTTGGCTTGGATTGACAAGCAAGATATTTTCAATTTTGAGAGTGCACATCTTGACAACTCGACTTATCCTCATTATCTCGAGGATATCCGATACTGACATGTCATATAAATTTTGAAGGTGTATTCTAGATAATTATTTTATAAATTGAGGTGTTCAAGTGACATACTGAAGACGAGTTAAGGTGTTCATATATGCATTTTCAAAATTGAAATAATTATCAACTGAAGCTAAGTTAAGATATCCATTTATATACTATGCCTATGATTATTATATCGTTTGCTATCAACATGGTATCCTACTTATATCTCTATCAGTGGAAAGCCAGGTCAATGAAACACACCTCATGTTTCCTTTTTACTTTTTCACTTTTATTGAAGACAAAATTACACATTTATTACAATCACCTTTTTTACAAAATTAGTGTTCTCTAGTCTGCGCATTAATCAAAACGATTTGGTGTACAACATTTTTTCTATATGTATATTTCTAGAAAGTACCGACTATTGAATTTATTGTACGTAGCTTTAACTTATATCCTTCAAGAGAAGTCATTGCAATTGGAACTCCAGGCATTCTAATCATGGCGGTAACATCTTATCTTTTGCTCCATTTATTGCATCAATCATAAGGTACTTAAACTTTCTATTAATGAATCTTCAATACGATCCAATTTAAGTGCTTTTGATAGAATTAAAAAAAGGTAAACTAAGAAGATAGTATGGGAATGGTCTTTACAAATTTTAAGCATGGAATTATTTATGATTCTTTGGCTCTCCAAAAATGTATTACACCATGGGAGCACTCAAAAAGTGAAATAGGTGTATTAGGACAAATATTAAGAGGGCCTAGTGAGCACAAAAAAGGTGGTTTCAATTTACATCCACTATCCAACTTTTGGCCTCTAATTTTGTCTCATCCTTGAAACAGATATATTGGTATACGTTGGATGTTAGTTCTAGTCTTTACCTCATAGGCTGCTCAAGATTTTCAAAATCCTTCTTTGCACAATGTGGAATGTCTACTCACAAAGTAACTTTGTGTCCAGATTAATCTCTCACATGGTCGCTCAGGGTAGCAGAGCTAGAATTTTAATGAACGAG